ATAGATAAAATTACCATTCAGCAGATTGCTATACCTTCATTAACTGGGCTAATTCTTCACTGATAGCTTTTTTCAACGACACATCACTTGAGAACATATCTTGTTCAGCTGAATGAGAAATAACAAAAGATTGGCAGAAAAAATTACAGTTTCTAAAGTAGTGATTTTCCATAAATTCTTAAAAATGGCGATAACGGAAAAACCGTGCACACTGAATGGGAATGATTCCCCTATCACCTCGTATCGTTTGATCCATGACTTTTGGGGTCACCCTGAGTATGATGAAACGGTCTTCAAACTGAGACATTTAGAAAAGGAGCTATTATGTTTTTTTACTACTTTGCTCAGGACGAAAAACTTTTGTAGTTCCTGAAAATCGGTCCAGTGACCGCGGAGCTGAGGGGAAAAACGTGAAAAAAATAAAAATCGCTCAAAATCAGTTTGTTTACACTTTGGTCACTCCTGATCACCTTTGGGCTGTAGGGGTTTAAAATTCGAGAATGGGGTTATAGGAGGTGGGGGAGAGTATATCTCAATTTTTGTCCGTATGTATGTATTTTATTTAACCAAACGACATAATAATGTATGTGGCAAGTACAGTAGAAAGAAAAACATTTTAATTCTACGAACTGATAACAGGGTTGCGCGGGAAGTGCAGAGTCAACCTACTTGACGCCATAAGCTTTCTTCATCTTCCACAGCTCTTTTGTTACAGCAGGCCACTTACAACAAAACTTCATAGTTTATTAATATGCATAGAAACGTGCTTGTTGAATACGGTTACCCAACATTTTTTTAAATGATTATGCCTTTGCATCTAAAATTCGTCTATATAATTTTTTTCTCTAAGGGTGGGTTTCACCAAGGTTGGCAAATCAACAGTCCGTTATTCTCCACCTATAGGGTAACAGTCCGTTAAATACAGCGAATGAGCTTCAAGTTCCAATCAACAAATTTTAGCAACCAATAGCTATGAAATGTTGAAAACAAAATACTGTCAAAGTTTAAGATGACATCTTGTCATTGAAACATCACCAGCTTATTGAATATTAAGAAATTACATATAATTCAGCCATAATTTAAAGAAATGTTTGATTTTTGAATTAAATTCATCTTTTAATTACTATTGTTGATTTTTTATTCATGTTTATATTATTTTCTTCAATTGATATGCAATTTTACTGATTTAACATCACCTCCCGTGTTTTTTTTCCTATAAACCTCTTGCAGATAGCCATTAAGCACCTACTTGCCGTTCATCAGAACCATTATGGCACCCAAGATTGATATTCCCACAAAACCATTCCGGTCTTTTGATATCCATAAAGTTGAATATTTTTCGTTGTTCAGGAACTGAACAAACATCCACACTATATTCACATCGATTAAGAAATTCCCAAATATATGCCTTAAAGCTACCAGCAAACCTAAAACATGCAAAAAACTACAAATTTGCAATATTTTTCTTTTTTCACGAGTACACATTCTAGGTTATATTTATATTAGACATTATTTGAATACAGCTGATTATTGCATTTCAAGACTCATCGAGTGACACATGTGTGGGATCTGTCAACCCTTGGTCCCAGTCGCAAAACATATACTCTGAAGAAAGTTTAATTCCATGCTGTTCAATGACAACACGGTGACTTGTGTGGTTGTCAGCGGCCATTTTGTGAGGGTGCGATATGGTTGCCAAATTGTGCATTAATATCCCGTTTCACCCCCCTGGTCCCAGTGGAGTAAGCTTCGCCAACTGTTGAAATATACTCTACTATGCTTTATAAGAGTATTCGTGGAATTTTTCACAAAATCATTGTACAACACTTGGAAATGCAAATGAAAATTTAAAATTATTTCCATGATGCCGCAAAATAGCTCCGTTGGTACCTCGGGTTATACATCTCGACAGGTAGGATGTTCCATAGGATCCTATATTTAGAAGTATCAATACATTTCACGAGTATCGTCATCTTTCGATCCTGACTGTCTCAGAAAGAGTGACTGCCATTTGGCTGCGACATTACCCTGCCAAATCAGACATATCTTTCATCATTTTCAAAGAAATTATACAAAATTTCCAAATTTGTGAAGTTAGCGAGTTTCACTTCATACGTTGTTACCAGACATGCCCAAATAATCAGTTGCTGCCGTGATATTCATCCCGACCACTGCATCCCCACGGCTAGGCGACCTGTATGTTAAATTTGTATTGATAAGGCAGCGGTTTATGCTATAAATCATATGTCACAGTTTTTGTGCATTGATTGCAACGGTTAGATGATACCAAAAATATTTTCATAAATAGGAGATCTTTCCCATTCCGGATCGGACAATCCACCAAAGATGCTTATAAACATGATACCTAGTAAATTTACATGAAAAATCCTCTGTATGTAGTTATATAAGAGCTTTCTTATATTTGTTCATCAATTTGATGATACAACACATCTGCTAAAAATGATCATAATCAGGATAGTAAACTATGAGAAAGGTCCACTGTATGTAAGAATGTTCAGATACTTCATTTGCAATTTGGCAACACACCATGACGGTGTTCACATTTTTCAAATATTCTTCAAGAAGTGTTATCAGTCTAGCTCCAACTATCATAATAATAATAATAATAATATTTATTCACTCAATGTACAAAGATAAAAAACAATATGAGTAAATAAATATAAAATCAAAACAGGCCCAATAGAAGGCATCGCCTGTACATGGACCAATAAATTTAAGTTGAAACTGTAGAATGCAAATGACAAAAAAGGACAAAAATTAGCTACAGTAGATTATGTATTTAGTTGATGTTCGTATTTATGAGTTTATGAATGTCAGTCCTAGATATAGAATGTAGCCACTTTTTTAAATTTCTTTTGAAACAATTTCCGAAACGTAAATCTTTTAAGTCTTTAGGTATAATTTCATAAAATTTAGGCGCTAAATAGAGATATGATCGCTGCATTATAGATTTAAGCATCCCACAAACCGGCGCGAAATAATCGCGGCGAAGTATTCGCAACGAAATTCAGAGCGAAATTCGCAATCTGTTTCGCCTGTTTATTCATACCAAAGCGTCTTATTCGCTCCGCGAACGTGAAGGTTTCGACAGGTTGCGTACATTTTATTTTTGCCGTTTGCAATGAGCTCGTCTTCAGAAGAAGAGGAGGCACTTCTATTTCTTGCTTTAGAAGAGGAACAAAATGCACGGTAAGTTATGTTTATTTAACGCCATTTGATAGTTGGGTATGTATTAAGTTTAACGAAGTACATAAAACAAATATTTTCAATTTTGTTTAGGAAACGAAGGAAGTGGGTACATGATATTAACTTGGAACGAAATAAATTTGGGGAATACCATACCTTGATGCCACAACTTCGGCTGGATGAACAGCGCTTTTACGTATATTTTAGAATGACTCCAGAGTGCTTCGATGAAATATTGAACTTGGTGAAAGATGAAATACGAAAATCTGACACAAATTATCGTGAAGCCATTTCGCCAGAAGAACGACTTGCTATTACACTCAGGTAAAAAAAGAATATGTATTAAAATTAGTAGGCTTATCGAATACGAAAACTTCAGGGATCGTGAAATAAATATTTTATTGTAATAATTGGACTACATGTTGCCACTAGGATTAAATGTTGCTAAATAATTCGAGGCAGAATTTGCCTCCTCTGTTGGGTATATTATTGGAGTAAACCCAGTGCCGCTTGGGCAGGACGACATACTACTATCATACATACTTGCAGAATTCTGGGTAGACGCTGAAGACATTTCTTCAATATGTTCAAATTCTTCGTGCGCTATTAATTCGGCTATTTTTAGTTTTATTCGGGCTTGACGCTTTAAGGGAAGTGTTTTCACAGTCTGTGCATGTGCCAAGAAAAGTGAATCAATGGCCTCGTTCTCTTTTTTAGGTTTTTTACCTTCAAAATAATTAATGAGCTGTTGTACAGACGAAGATGGTGGTTCATAGCGTTTTCTGCTCGTTTTATATTTTGGTGTAGTTGCAGTCTGCGGAAAGGTGTGCCCTGGAGTAGTCACTGCTGTAGTGTTCAATGAAGAAGGTGGTGCTGTCTGTGTTGCCGAGGCGTTCTGTGCATCTTCTGCATCTACATCAGTCTTTTCATCTTCTCCATGGCCGTTGTCTTCCAAATTTTCGGTTTCTACATTTCCAGCCCTTTCCTGATATATATTTGAGATAAATTCGGCAGTCTCATAATGTATGACGTCAATATCTTTCACATTAGACGACGTTTTGGCAAATGCCAAAAAAGGACGGAAAAATTCCATGTAGTCAGCTCACTGCCATTTTTTTATGTTGCCCACTGCTTGGCCGGTCTTTGGTTTGGTAGATTTTATATATTTTGCAAATGTGTCTCTGATATTCTTCCACCTTTTTTTTACTTCATCACCTAAAAACGATTTTTTATAGGTTCCTTGCCACTAGTGACACCTTCTATACCATTGGGCATAGCTTTCGAGTTGACTTTACAACAGTGAGTGAAATTGTAACCGAAGTCTGTGAAGCGATATGCAGACATATGGAGCATATATATTTACCAGAACCAAGAGAGAATATATGGAAAAAATGTGCTAAAGAATTTGAAAATAGATGGGGATTTCACAATTGCATTGGCAGCGTGGACGGTAAACATGTAACAATCAAGAGACCTAACAACAGTGACTCCAATTACTGGTGCTATTTACATAAATATTCAATAGTACTTATGGCCATTGTTGGCCCGGACTATAAATTTATATGTGTTGATAGTGGTGGTTTCGGAAAAAATAGTTATGGGGGTATTTTCGAAACCTCAAACATGGGAAAACGATTTGAACAAAATTTAATGAGTGTCCCTGCACCTAGATTTCTCCCTGGGCAAAATGAAATCTGCTCGTACGTCTTAATTGGTGATGAAGCATTTGCTTTAAAACCATACCTTATGAGACCATTTCCTTATAAGCAGACTTTAACAGACGTCAGAAAAGAGAAATACAATGTAAGACTTTGTCGAGCTAGAAGGGTCGTGGAAAATGCGTTTGGTATTTTGTTTCAAAAATGGCGAATATTTTACAGGCCATTAGAAACTAAAGTAGATACTACTATCCTAATTGTACCTACGGCATGTGTTTTACACAATTTTTTACGAAGTAAAAGTGGCGATTACAAATATTTTCAATTCTTAGATCCCCCAGAACCCGTGCTTGGAGCTTTTACTGATATAGCAAATGATCCTCGGCGGGCAGCAAGGCTAGCATTTTCTACTCGTGACAAATTCGTAAATTATTTTAATTCTGATATGCCTATGCCCAAAATATAAAATGTTCGTTTTCACATTTGTGTAGACTGTAAATTATTTAACAAGTTAATAAAAAATATTAGGTACATACCATTTGTATTTAATTTTTTTCCTATTTCCATCCAAATCTTGTCTTTCTTTTTCACATTCCTGTTTTCATCGTTCAAATCATACAAACAAGGATACTTTTTCACTATTTCTATCAATAATTCCGTTTTTGCCATTGCGAATTTTTGAAGAACGGCGTCAAAAACGCGGTCAAAGGCGAACTGAAATACGCCGCGATAAAAACGCTGGAACAATCGCATTCGCTTCGCACAAGTCTGAGCCTGTCCGTAAACCGCCGCGTATTAATCTGATCGCGAATTCATCGCCGCGAAATGTTCGCAGCCAAAGCGAATATTTCGCGCCGGTTTGTGGGATGCTTTATGCGGTTGAGGAACTACTGTGCCACGAATTTTGTACCTGGTATAATGATTATGTTTAATTTTTTGGTCGGTGTTTACAAATTTATGGTAGTGAGTGATACTGTGTAAGAAATAAAGCTGTCTTATATCATACATTCGAACATCTGCGTATAATTTTTCAGTGGGATAAAGTTTCGGTTTTTTAAATATCATTTTTAGAATACTTTTTTGAAAAACATCTAAATTATAGATATGTGAGGAACATGCAGCTCCCCATGCTAATATACCATAATGTGAGATAAGGCTCAATCAGTGCATGGTATAATGTTCGAAGATATTTTTCTGTCAATATATTCCCAAGGTATTTAATTTTGTAGGATACAAATCTAACTTTCTTGAAAATATAATTGACATGGATGTCCCATCGTAAGTGAGGATCCAAGACCACTCCAAGGTATTTTATGTTGGGCACTCTATTAATTTGCATTTTTTGATCATTAATATTGAAGGAGAAATTTGTGTAATTTGGCAGATGTCTAGCATAAGATCCAAATGGTAAAAAATGTGTTTTAGAGTAGTTAATGCTTAATTTTCTACTGTTAAACCACCGAATAATTTTGATTAAATCATTTTCAATTACATTTTTCAGATCAGACCAGTCAGTGCCTTCATATAATATTACAGTATCATCTGCAAAACTAGTTATTTTGCCAACACAATTAATTTGTAAAATATCATTTAAATATATATTGAATAACAGCGGACCTAAGACAGTTCCTTGTGGGACACCACACTTAATATACATTTCTTTACTAAATGATCCTGATATCTGCACAGATTGTGGGCGATTTGACAAATAACTTTCGATCAGTGAGTACGCGTTTCCTCTGAAACCAATTCTCTCCAATGCTTCTAATAATAATTTGTGATTAACTGTGTCGAAAGCTTTCTTTAAATCAACAAAAATGCAGATTGAAGGGATTCTGTTATCAATATTTTGATGTATTTGATTTACAATTTTAGTTACTGCGTCCGATGTAGCCTTCCCTTCTGTAAATCCATATTGATTTTCACTTAAAATTTTGAATTTTGTGAGGTATCGAATCATTCTAGTAGATAAAACTTTTTCAAAAACCTTTGCTACACTGGATATTATTGATATTGGTCTATAGTTGTTAACATCTGTTTTTGTTCCTGATTTATGTATCGGTATTATATTACCTTTTTTTAAAATTGAGGGATATACAAGTATGCCAGATTCAAAGCATTTGTTGATTAGGTAAGTGAGTGGTTCTGTTATGTCCTAGGCTATAATTTTCAAATGCTCGCTTTTAATACCATCGAACCCAGGACTTTTCCGATTTTTTAAGGACATAACAGTGGTGTATACTTCACATTGCTCGACTTTATCCAAAATAAATGAGTTCAAAGTTCTTTTTGGAGGCTGAGTATTTTGTACATTTGCTTGTATATTATTACTTGCTAAATTTTCGCCTATGTCAGTAAAGAATTGTACAAATTCATCGCATATCTGTTGAGTATTTTTTAATACTGTTCCCGATGTTGTATTTAACTCAGTGACACACTCTTTAACTTTTGTTTTCCCAGTAATCTCATCAATAGTTGTCCAAAGCCGCTTAGGATCATTTAAGTTATTATTCAATTTATTTAGGTAATGTTTTCGTTTGGTTTGCCTTACAAGCTCTATAAATTTATTTTTATATTGGTTGTAGCAGTCGGTATTCTCTGTAGTTGGCGTTAGTTTCATTACATTATATAGTCTTTCTTTTTCTATTGCCGATGTATTAATCCTTTGGTAATCCAGGCATTTCTGCTTTTCTCTTTGTGACTAATTATTACTTTATTGGTACTAATATCTATTAGTTTTTTTATTTTCTCTATGAACAGTCCCGTTGCTTTGTCTATATTATTTATAGAGTATAATTGTTCCCAGGATTCTTGTTTGACATTTGATATTAGTTTTGAATTGTCGACAAAAAATTTGTGATTTTCCTGGTTGTTACTAACGGTAGGGATGTTAGAATGTTTTTCATTTGAAGATATCAGTAAAATAGTGGAGAAGTGGTCAGTAATATCGCTTTCTAGGATTATTGGTATACAAGTAATTTTGTTGGATAGGTCTTTCACAAAGCAGTGATCTATACATGTGCCACTGATGGACCTTGTAGGTAGGTTTATATAGGACAGAAATCCGTTACTTGATAGGATATTCAAGTATTCATTTGTGATGGGGTCATCGTCCAAAATATTTATATTGACATCTCCCAAGAAAATATGTTGCTTTAAATGAACTTTATTTTGATTTTGAAAAAAAAATTCGATATTCTTTAAAAACTCGTGGGGTTCTGAACATGGCGGACGATAAATTGCAGATACCTCAATTTTGTTATGGTTAATTTGGATCATTATGTTTAAAATTTTGATTCCATCGGTGAAAGTGAATGTATCATGACTATATTGCAGTTTATTTCTTACAAAAACTATCACCCCATCGTTTTGGTTATAAGTGCCAAAGTTATACAGCGTGTCATATCCCTGCTGATTGAAGCAAGAAATATCAGCCACTTGCCACGTTTCAGTTAAAACTATTAGATCAAAATTGTACCATATTTGGTCGAGTAGTATTTTTAAGTAATCAATGTTGTGTTTTATACTCCTTATGTTCATATTAAAAATTCGAAATTTTGCATCAGAATTTTGTGTACATAAATTAAGTTCATCGACGTTTTGTGCTATATCATAACTACTATGTTTGTCTTCCTACTTTAAATTCAAAACCAGCAAATGTAAAAGATTCATGTCGCACCCTTCATCACGGGACGTGAACCCTGCGAGTGACAGATAGATAACCTCACCAGTGAAAAAGGCAATAGAACAATAAACACTAATAGTTTTTATGATATTTGGACTTAAAAGACATTATTTGTGAGACTTTTTTTATAATTTTTTGTCTATGTCCATAGTAATTGCATTATGCATCACGGAGATGTAGGGATAGACACGTCTTATACATATTATCTGTGTTTTGTAAATTAATAAATGATGAGGAATTGGATTTAATGTATTTTATATTCTATTTTCTTGCAAAATACAGACAAATCCACACTGTTCAACAGGTATGTAATGATAACAGTATATTGAACTTAAATTCGAGATTGCCATGCATTAACAAACGTCCAAATCTGCTGCCAAATTTAACAGCTAGAAAATCGACCTATTATTTGCCACATCCCATTGGCTTTTGGGGATAACTGATTGTTAAATGTAAATTTATAACACAAATCAAAATACATGAAAGTTGTCCTGTTTTCTCTGTACAAAAGCATCATATTGAAATCAAGAAGTGGTCTTGTTTATAATACAGTCGAATTTTCACGATTTTATTCAATATTTTAATAGAAATCACTGATAGTCTGAGACCTTTGACAGCTTCTGTCAAATTGCATTTCGATAAGGTATTTTCCTATTGGTCCATAATATTAATGTTGGTGAAATCGGCCCTTAATCTATCATCTATCACTTGTTACTAGTAGTATGTTTCCCTTTGTCAACGTGCTCTTATGTGAACTATAAACCTGAATCATGATTATTTATCATCAATTCAGTAACGAAACCGGCTATATCCTATCTGTCAGTGTTCGTCAAAATTCAGGAAAAATCCAACCGATTCAAACTGGATCTCAATAAAACTGATGATATCATTATCTTAAAACAATACGAAACTTGGAAAAAAACAAATATCATACACACACTTCCATTTCTATAATTGTTTAGCTCTGACCTTGTTCGTTGACATTTAATTGAACGAGGATTTTTCGACCTTGAGAATAAAGATGGTATATAAACGCCATTGATTTATTAATATATTTTCCATTTAGCCTGTGTAAAAACAACTCAGACGTCGGTCGCACTCGCGTATGACCTCCAATGATATTTTATAACAATGTTGGGATCAATTTGTATTATTCGAAGCACCTGCAGTGGCGTGCAAGTCTGGCAGACGTGTTTTCGCTGGATAGGCACTATGGCCTTTGCATTTTGCCATAACTAGAGCCTTTCCCGTGAAGCAGACAGCGAAAAAAATGTAGGTTTTAAAATTCGTTCATATTGGGCCTTTTTGTAGATGTGAAAAAAAAACATGATTTTTTTAGACTGATTATAACGGGTGATTTTTTAAGAGGTATACGATTTGATTTTCAAAAAAAAAACACAAAAAATTTTGAAAAAACGATTAACTCTTTACTTGAGTCGATAGAACGGTCGATATAATTTAATGTTTAAAGATTATTTCATGTAAATGTTGGCCGCGGCTCAACTTTAGATGGCCCATGCGCAAGGTCCAATTTTGGCACACTCTCTCCAACATATCGGCCGATATCTCACGAATAAA